TATGGCGCAACTTGCCACACAGCGCACTTAACAATTTAAGCGATTTATTGCAAAATCAATTTCGTAACAAATCATTTTGCTGGTTCTGTTAACTATCCCCTGGCCCCCTTTTATGTGCGGTTTAACGCCCCTCATTTACTTTTTATTGGGCTACGTTAAGTCTTTGGCTTATGCCGATAAACCAGCAACTCTTGAAGCATTGAAAGCCAATGTTTATGCCACCATTGACGATTGACGCCAAACGTCCACATTTATTGCAACAAAAGTCAAAAATTGGACTGATCGATTAGACCATGTAACTTGTAACTGTCCTTAGCTATACCTCATTGCATCTGTACTCCCGAACGTTTGCTATTTAGCATACGTTTGCAGGCCGAGTTGGCTAGCCATTTTTTATTTTCCAAGCGGGCAAAATGACAATCTCATATATAACTGATTGAAGGATTGCGCATTTAACAATATAAATAATAATACTGATGGAAATCATATTTGAAAAATAAATTCCACGAAAAATTTCATTCCAATAATATTTCTGTCTTGTATTATCATTTTAAGTTTTTATACAGTTAAAAAACATTCGATAGATAGATGCTAGTTAGGACTTGCTGCAAAGAATTAAGTTGGTGAAATAAGGAAAACTCACTGAAATTGCTAAGTAAGATTGGAATCTCTGTTTTAGTGTTTAATCTTTAAACACTGCGATTATTTCTTCCGATTAATGTTTTATTTTAAATCATGTATTAGGTAGAAGAAAATTTCATTGAGTTCATTCTAATGGATATTTAAAAAAACATAATTTAATTTATTTAAGAAATTATACTAACTTTTTTATTTTCTGATCATAGGAATTCTGAATTTATGGGTACCTTAAAGTAAATATAAATAATATGCAATTAAATTTAAATAAACTCCAGAAAATAAGTTTTCACAATAGACTTTATTATTGATTTTTATATTTGTATATATATTGTTAATCTCTTTAAACTTGTTAATAGAATTCTACAGATATTCAAAATTTGAAATATATATCTTTTAATTCTATGTTTTCTATTTCGTTTTATATATATAATATATTTGAAATAAATAGATGTGGAATATAAGTGAGAATATCTGCATAAAGCCCTTCTTCAACAATTATGGTTTCATTATTTTAAATTTGATTTAATATTCATTTTCTGTTTTATTAATATTAATAACATATGTCTGTCAAATTATTAAAAAGTCTGCTAAATAGATTTATTTGTGTATATTTATAGACTTTTAAATAGAAAATACATTTTTCACACAATTTCAATAGATACAATTTAAACTCATCAAGTAACAATTTTTTTTATATTAAATAGTAAAGGTACTTCTTAGAAAAACTTGTACCGGAAAGCAGGCTATTATGGAAAGCAACACATAAGCGCAAAATAATTTAAACCTCTATAAAATCTTTTAAAAGTTAAAAAATATTTCATACATGTATTTAATATATATATATATATGTATATAAATGAACAAATTTTGAACTAATAAAAGCTTATATTTAAATAAAATATTGCACGGAAATAAATTGCATAAATTTTTTTATGGATTATATTAAAACATTTTTTTGTAAGCAGCTGCTTATAACTTTAATTTTATATATAATATATATTTTTAAATTTTAATAGATTTTAACATTCACGAATAGTTCTTTATTTTAATATAACTAATATGCCAATTATTTGAGAAACATTGATTTAGATATGATTTTATAATTGCTACAATTTATTTATAATTTTTTATTTTCAAATAACAACAATAAATTTTAAAAATTTACATCAATTTTTTATTTTTAATTTGATATATTGTATGTATAGAGTTGTTGTATTTTAATTTTTTACATTGAAGCCAATTATTCATATATAAGTATATTTAGATTTTAATATTAAATTTATTCTTAATTTTGTGCAAGATTATTACACGCTTAATTTTTATATAAATGCTGCAGTATATGTTTAAATTTTAAAATTTAAATGCTCATGTTAACATTTGTTAAAAGTTTTAAAAAGTAATTAAAAATCGATTTTATAAAAAAAATACTTATACATAATAACAGTCGAAATAGCTGCAGTCATCATTACTCCTAAAAGATCTGCACTTCAGGGTTTACATTTTGCTTGTTTTCTCTAACATTGCGATCGATATGGCAAAATGGAAGCTTAATTTATGGAAGAATAAACAAAGAAGTATTTTAGATGGAGGAAATAGCAGAAACCGAAAATGAGAGAAAGATAGCGAGAGAGAGAAAGATAGCGAGAGAGAGAGAGAGAGAGGGAGAGAGAGAGAGAGGTAGAGAAATAGATAGCTGCCTAATGTACGGTTGAACTACAGTAGCAAGTTAAGTCGCTAGGAATGTCAAAAATGAAATAGAGTAGACCAATTTCTGTAGCACTGCGCACGATTAAACAATAGTCATTATATTCCATAAAATTGGGCTAGAGTAAAAACCGCCAGTTACTGTAGCTATCAACTATAGTTTAGTCCTAAGTTGGATGAAAGGGACAGGGAAAAAACAATGTGGGAAGAAAAAAAAAGTAATTGTAAAGGAAGAGAAAGGGAGAAAGAGGGGGGGGGGGAGAGAAAGAGAGCGAGAGAGACGGAGAGAAAGAAATATATATAGAAAGAGAGGGAGAGAGGGAGAAGGAGAAGGAGAGAGAGAACGAGAGATATGGCAACAGAGAAATATTGAATGTAAGAAATATATCTCTATTATCATAACGTAGTAGAAACTTAAAATTCTATTGCAAAACACAAACACGTGAATAAGTTATTTTTAAATATATTACAGAATCTATTCAAATTGAATAATGTTGAAAAGTATATTTGATTTCCAGTACACTTTTTGCATTTACTGTTTACACATCAAATTACAATATATATTTATTTTTTTACTGATTTTGAACTTTTCACTGATATCAAAAATTAGGCTAGAGAAAATAAACATTACGAAATGAACTTATTAAATTTAGATATAAGTATAACAGTAGGAATTATTTTTTTTTAAAATCAATGACTTTGTTAAATTATATAGTAAAAAAGCAAAAATTTTGACACTATTTCCTTTTGAAGGATATGGTACTCATAAGTATAATTAAGAAAGAATTTACTCGCTCTTTCAAAATTGCAAAAGTTCAGTGATTAATTACATTGTTGTGTGGAAGTGTTAGTTTCGCTTATGAAGAGCTTAAAGCTCATAAGAATAAAGTATGAAGCACTTACTATATGGCCAATCAAAACCACAATCTTAGGGTTTCTTACAGAAGTACTGTAATGCATTCCATTTCATATTTGCTCTCAATGCAGCAAAAATTAAAAATTTGAACAAGACTTGCGAATAGTAAGAAGCTATACTACAAGAGAGCAAAAAAAAGAAAAATAAAAGTTTTTGAGTAAAAACATAAACGCTGGTTTCTTGGAGCATAAGGTTGGAAGAGAGTTTGAAACGAACAAACAACAGTAATTACAGTTACGTTAGAACGTTAAGCAGTTAACAAATGTTAACTCTCCTGAATTGGGAATTTCTGTACGGTTGCAATAAGTTAGTTAGTTAGTTGTGGTTGGTAGGCACGTATAGTAATGATAAAAGTCTTGCATTGAGGGAAATTGTAAAGTAGTCTCGATCATTTCAGTTCTTTTATATTTTATTTTCTAATTAGTAAGTTAGTTGTGATGGGAGGAGGTACGGAGCGTCATTAATTAGATAAGAAAGCCGTTTTGAATCCACATATCCTCGTAATATCTAGCGAGAGGCATTTATAAAGACAAGGGTCTGGCCAATGTTACTGCTGGAGATATCGCCGAGTGTGTTTAAGAAGGTGGATTCCAGAACTTAAGCCTAGTTCTGGCCAACCCTAAGCACAGTCGGTGTTCTGGTGTCTTTTCATTGAGATTGTATTTTCTAAGACGAGTCTTCTATAAATTTTTTATTATTTCAGAACACCTGATTGCTAAAGCAAATACTTATAATATACTGGTGAGAGATTTTTTATTGTATTAGACAAGCGTTTCTTAGCGTTTCAATTTGGAACGAATCACTTAGAATGAATATAATGAATACTCACTCATCTTACTTACTCATACTTATGACACGTTATCAAGGATATAATGTTAAAATAGTGGCTATGATCAATAAAATGGAGATGATAAATTATGAACTGCAATAATTCGTTGTAGTATAGCATATTATCTGGGATAAGGCGGAAAAATCTTTGTTCTGCATTAGAATTATGTTGTTATGGACTCAATATTATAAGGTATCAATAAAAATGGAGTACAAGCAGCTATGCATAAACCATTGAGTGCAGCATAATGACTTCTAAAAATATTTCCATTAAATTAAAATGTTATTACTTTGATTGTTTTAAGCTCAATATTAACATTTGTGCTATTAAAAATTGTTGTGCGGTATTTTAAATATAAATACAAATGTCTTAATTCATATAAGTATATACATAAAAAAGTATAGTTCAGTTTTTAATATCTTGTCTAACTTAAGACTAAGTAAATTTTTAAAAAACTGCCTTGTATATTTTTAAAAATTAAAACTGTTTAAAATTTTTTTTGTGCCAAAAAATAAAATTAATTACAATAAATGAAATAATTTTAAATAAATTAATTTAAAAATATTTTGTTAAAATTTTCTATATTATGACTAATATATCTTTATATAGTATGAGTGTATTAACGACTAGTTTTGATAAATTTTTTACTTTGGTTATTTGTGTATATAAACATATGAATAATATCTTTTTTCACAAAAGAGTGAAGGTTTTTATTAAAAAAAGTCTCCGAAAATTTAAAATATCCACTTATTCTGAGTCTAATATATCTGCAGGATATATCATCAATTAAAATAAATGTTAACTAAAATCCATATACGAATCCATCAGTAATATAGTTTGTATGAGATGCTTCACTACTTCATATAAATACTTGAGCTAAGTATTCAAAAGTTTTATAAATATATATGTTTATGTACTTGAATATTCATATATAGTGGTCTTTCTTTTTGGTCTTTTATTTATCTTATGTTTGTTGTGGTACTGCTAAATCAACAACAATAGTCTCATCTGGAACTGTGATGTTTTCCAGAGCGCTCGATGAGCATATAATCCCATCACGCAATGCTAACTGATAGGCAACCTCAAAAGCTTGCCCAAGAGTTAATATAATTTCAGTTGCCAGATCCTAAAGTGTAGAGGAAGTGTTAATTGTTATAATAAATAAAATCAGTTTAATATAATAAATAAATTAATTTGTTTAAATTTAGTAAGAGGCTTATGTATATATACTTCAATATGTTTTGGAAACATTTAGTTTTCAGTGTTTACTTATAAATTCATGATTATGGTATTTGTGTAACACATATATGTATATAAAAATATATATATTTTTCCCATATATTTGTTTACACTTACCGTACTTTCCACATTGAAGACGTGACAATAGTGCATGTCATTCTCTTTGGTTATATACGCGAAATGTCTTAAGTCATCTGAATCCTGGCAAGCGCAATTAATGTTTTGTATTTCATGTTCACATATTGCGCGCTTCAAGGGAAAAATATTTATTTAATATTATATTTTAGTTTATACATATAAATAAGCAGTTTAGTTACTAGTTTACTAACCTTATTGTTTATATCAATGAATTCTACACCACGATGGGATATGGCCAAATAGACTAGTGCACGTTTCTGTCTATTAAACGAAGTATTCCTATTTAATTTACGTTGTCGTTTTTGTTGTTCAGCATTTTCTGGTACGGAAGACATCATCATATTTGATATTGTTTGTTCATCACGTTTTAGTTTCTGTATTGATTTACGAGTCGATTCAGTGCCACGTAATTCTTTCACAACCGTTGAGCCCAAATACTGTTAAATGGAAAGCAGAACAAAATCATTGTCATGTAAGTTAGTCTCATGTGAGAACAGAAGGAATAGTCATATTTTACTTTAAGGAAATAGGCAATTGGTTAGAAAACTAATTAATTATTTAATTCAAATTTTAGTGTTAGTAACATTAATATTTATAAGTGACATCTAACGGAATATTCTAGGGGGGAAAATGTGTGGTCTGCTAGAAAAAATTTTTTTTAAGTTCCGTTTTTGCAGTATATTGTATGTATATCATATTTTTAAGGGGGAAACTTGATCCATAAATTCTTATCCTCTTCCTGGGTACGTCACTCATCCATATGAAGGGAGCATGTTTTTATTTATTTTAAAATAATACATGTATGTTTTCTGGGGCATTTAGTAAAACAATGTTACCTAACACCCTATCAAGTGTTTAGCAATATCTAAGAACTTAAAAAAAAATAATTTAGAATATATAGATAGACTAAGTGAAATTAGTTGGATTTCATTTTAACTGATTCAAACAAAACATTTTCTTTTGATTGTTTCTTTATTTGAGAGATTGTAAAGTGGAGTAATAGTTAAGACGGTTAATAATCAAGATATCAATACAACAAGAATGTAATTTAATTAAGTTTTAAAATTCCTAATCCTATAATACAAGTTATTCGGAAAATGTCAAATCCCTTATGTGAAGTTTGGGTATACACTTATATACATGGATAATATCCTCATCTTATTTGAAGTGGAAGTAAAGTGTATTTTTAGTATTGAATTTAATCGTTTTTGGTGATGCAAGTAGAAAAGATATTAAAAAACTTATTTTTTTGATTAATTTTAGTGTTAACTCACAAATACATAAATAAATATATTATGTGGGCCAATACCTCAGTGAGTATCTGCATCACTGAATGTCGGAGCAGAACAATTTCAAAACGTTGAAAAATTCTACTATTTTAGATATATGATCGCTGTGAATAGAAGCAATAAGCTATATGAGTAATCACTTCAGAATCCACTTTATTGGAAGTAGTAGAAAAGTAACTTCTGCGATTACGAGGGGTTTCTGGCTTACAATGTCCATATTTTTGTATTATAAATAACTATAACTTTTTAAATAAAAGAGATTGTGAATAGAAGAAATAAGCTATATGAGTAGTCATTTTAGAATCCACTTTCTTGGAAACAGTTGGAAAGTAACTTCTACGATTACGAGGCGTTGTCTGGTTTACGATGTCAACATTATTGTATAATAAATAACTCTGCCTTAATAAAAAACAATTTTGGATCGCTCAGAAATAATTATGATAACATTTCTAAACAAAAGCTGAGGTAAATGTCCTTTAAAAAGCTGGTCGTAGCGTTGAAAGGACAGGTATTGTCGGACGCCATTGAACAGATACAAAAACGGAGAAGCTTGAATGAACGCAGAACTGCAGTACAAAATTATTTAACTTGATGAGGAGTTATTGATCTATGTTATAATAAGGAGTTTAGGGGAATATATCTTTATGCAGACGCAAAATATCTGGAAATGTTGCTACCATTTGAAATTAGTCTCATTGAGCAACAAATATGTTACATTCGGTTTCAATGTTTATTTAATAGATAATTAAGTAAATGATATTGAATATCGCATGAGAAATAAGCAACTTCATTGATACGGTAGTTAAACTATATATAGTAGATGTAATAGATTCTCAATAGGATTGAGCTAAAACCGTATTCGTATATTTCTATAAAATGTATTTATACTTTGTGATAGAATACCATATTAGTTTATTGAGTCTCGAAACTTCTTGCCGCATATCAATTCAATATGCTTTATCAAGGGTAAAAGAACAATGTATGTTGACAGGGGCAATTGATTGCAACTACTTTTATAGTTAGAAATTAAAAAATAGCCGCACACTTTCTTGCATTTTTTATAGGTAACCTTATTTGAGTTTGAGACTAAACTAATGGATTTGAAATGAAGTTTTTTTAATAACTAAGTTTTCTGCATATTTAGACACTAGCGTCCAACACAGGATATTTGTAAATGTTAGGTTTGCTATAAGTCTAATTAATTAAATTAAATAAACTAATTAAATATTATTCTTAATATTATAGTTTCACTCACATAAACTTCATATTTGATCTGTTCATTAAGTAAAACATTTGCTGAGTGCCTCCATTTTGTGCGTAAATTAGCCGGCAAGTCTAAAAGTAGTTCAGATGGTGCACGTATCTGTAATTCTGGTTCTGGTTCTGGTTCCTGTTGCTGTTGTTGTTGTTGTTGTTGTTTGGGAGTAGGTGGTTGAGGAGCAGGTCTAAATTATCAGACAAACTGATAAAAAAATGCCCATAGTGTGTATCATAGATCACTCTTACCTATTTTTGCGATAACTAGTAATCGATGACCTTTGAGGTTGTTGTTGTGGTTCTTTTGGTCCATTTATGTTAATCTTATTCGTTTCATTATTTTCACCTAAAGGTGTCTTGGCAGATTTCGGTTCACGCATATTACGTATATACGCTACCGATTGTAGAATTCGTCGACGATGTCCGAGTTTGTTAATTTCTAATACAGTCTGTAATTCCACATCCCAAACCCCTAAAACGCTATCGATAGTATTATAAAGATGTTTACTAAAATGAGAAATTAAAAATTATCAGTAAAAAATTCTAACAAACTGATATATTGTATTCAATTTTTTATTACTTGAAGAATTCAATATATTCTGGAAGATTTATGCTATTGAGCCATTGTGTTAATGTAGCAACACCTTTAGTTTCTACCGCATCAGAATTAGTTGGCTTGTTTTCTTGCTGTGTTTTAAGCGGTATTTGAGCTTGAAATTCTGGTTTTGGTAGGAGATACACAAATCGCAATAACTTTTTACCGTCTTCTTCAGGTATATGTATGAGTTGTATATCTGATTCTTCAAAGACCCCGTTCTAGAAGTACATACAAATAATAAACAAATAATTTTTAATTAATTGTGTGTTGGATGCAATATAAGGACCTACCATGAATTTATGGTGATCATAGCCATTTTCAAAAAGAATGCGTTCCAAATGTAACAAACCTGCGCTACGTAATCTCACAGCCAGTTCGTGACGTGCATGCGGTACATCAATGTCATCAAAATCTAGCTCAACATCATGTGTGGGTGTTATATTGGTGTTTAGTATACCACTACCGAATGACTCAATGATTTCTGATATTTTTTTGCGCGCTTCCTCCGCATTGAATGGACTTAAAATGCTACTTTGCTGCTCAGAGTTAGTAGTTATCGTTGTATCTTCGTTAGAACTATCGTTGCGTTCATCGGAGTGACTGTTAAAGCTTTTGCGACTAACATCATCCTTGGGCGGTACTTCGGATTTCTCGTTGTGTTGGTATTTTTCTTCAGCATTGCTGCTGCCATTTCTTGTAGTGATTTCAGTTGTGTGAGCGCGTTGTGGTATTGGTGGCTTAAATACTTTACGTTCAGGCAAAATGGGTTTCGTTGGTATCGGTGGTCGTGTTCGTTGCTTTTGTGGCTCTTCCATAACTAAAACTGAAGAACTATGTTGTGGATTGGTTTTTGGTGTCTGTTTATTAAGGGCCGCTAGTGACATATTACATCGTACATTAATTGTGGAACCCTTAAAGAGCCCGGCAAAAGGATTATCTCCCACAAATTCTTCTACACAATCAGTGGAAACACTATGATCAGATAGAGATACACTGGAACTTAGCGAACCAGAAGAGCCTTGCATACCGCTGGCATTATATAATGGCAGTGTTGGATTTGTTGTAGGTGAATGTGAGTAAATATATTCGCAAGCATCTGGTGCAGCAGGTAATTGCCTTGGCGGTGAGGTGCCAAAATCAATCATCATTTGTTGTTGTAGTAGTGCAGATCTTCTTTTATATTCTTGACTTAAAGGGCGAATACGTTCGTGTATGGTACGTTCAGCTTGGCTAGATGATGGTGGTGGATGATCAGGTGTCGGTGGCTGTTGATAATTAGTGGGACTACTGGGTATTTGTTGTTTAGCATCACTGTTACTGTCACTCGACATAGAGTAATGTTCCTTATCATTCATCTGAATGGAACTAAAAAGAAATAAACAAGATTAAAAAAATAATAAACGAATAATGAATTAAGAGATGTTCAATAGAATACAACTGAAGAGAATTTAGATATATGGAGCATTTGGAACTTACCAGCTGTTACGATTTCTTTTAAGTTTTCTATTTGGATTATAGGATTTAAGTGTAGGATTTTCACAGTTTATAATTTCTTTTGAAATACTTCCAACATTACGGGGCGTAGGTATTGGTCTTTTCATTGAATTGGTCATTTCCTGATTTGAATTTGGCACATAATTTTCATTATACTTTTCTTGAGAATAGTTTCGTTTCTCCAACATATCAGCTGATTAATAAATAATACATTATAATTACAATTGCATTAAGCATATGACAAAATGTTTGCCTGAATTATTCTAAATTTAAATTCTACTTACTACTTGAGCTCATAGAAATGCCGGCCGTTGAGCGTGTACTCTCACGTGCACTTGCAAACAAGCCATGCTGACGATCACGCATTTGATTCTCATCAAAACTAATGCCGCTTACACTACCGTGGCTTTGATGAGAGTAGGGGCTGTCATTCGATGAGGGACTACGTTGGTGGCGACGTGCAGATGACGATTGCTGATGATTAGGTGAGGTGTAGCTAAATACTTGACCAGTATGTGTTGGCGATACTGATAAATTACGCCGCGGTGGTTTTTTAGGTGGTGCTCCAACGGGGGCAAAACTACTTAAAGGATAGTGGGGAATATTGCTCCCAATTATGCCACCTTAAGTAAAATAAATAAAGTGAAGTTTCCGAAATGAAAGAAATTAAGTGATTATTTTGTTTTACTTACCTGTTGAGGAGCGAGAACGTGGAGAAACTGTAGCTGGATCAAAACTACTCATGGAAGATGAAGGGCTTATGCCCATTTCACTAAAGAAAACATAGAAAGGATTAATGAAGAATGTAATGTAAATTGTTTAGAGCATATTCAAAGTCGTCAATAAATGTTCCTTTCATCTGACTTGAGTTCGAGAGTTAAAATGAAAATAGTTATTGTGTGAACTATTGGTTCTGGGATCCTGTAGAGCGTCACTAAATACAGTTTCATTGCAATATATAATATAAAAATGAAATTAAATTCAAATTATTGAGTTTTGAGGGCCTACTTTTGTAAGTCAAACTATCCTGCCTGGAGCTACAAGAGACAGGTTAATTGCTTTCTATTATAGGATTTATTTTAGGTATATTTTTATACAGAAACGTGATTGATTATTTTTATTATATGAGTTTAGTATATCGTAAGATACATATTTATGCAAAAATTGTTTTTTTTTTTGTCGACTGTCGACTGATAAGTCACTGTGATAACAACTTTTTTCTGGTTAATTTTAAAATATTTAATAACTTCTATTACAAAATAATTTTTCTTTATGTGATTTACTAAAGATCTGACAAAATACTTAAACTTTTTTGAGGATATGTATGATATATAAAGGTTAGATAAGTAAAAAAGTAGTGATAATGATATGATAGCCTCTCAAAATTGTCTTTTTCTTGGATTATTTTCTTATTCACATAATGTGAAGTCAAATGTTACAAAAAATTTTATGATTAACGAAAGTAATTCCATAAATCCGTGGTTTTTGATATTATTTGTTAAATAAATCTTACTGATTGACAATGATAACTGAATCACACTTTAAACTAATTATTTTCAAATGTCTATGAAGTGTCATTTGCTACTTTGTATGATTGATTTGCGATCTGAATGTATGTCCATATTTGAAAGCCCAATTCTATTACACTTACTTTTGTGAATTATTGGAATGACTATGTACAGGGGAGTTAATATCATGGTAATATCGGCCACCACTATTTGCATCTTCAGGCTGTAATCCACTATCTAGGGATTTGCCACCATTGTAAACTCCAGTGCTGCTGTAACGCTGCTTGTTGTATGACGACTGCTGCATGGAATGTGAGTGATTAAGCAGATGATTATTGGAGTTGAAGTGATAATGGTTATTGTGTTGCTGCTTTTGATAGTGTTTGTTGCTGTTGTTGCTATGAGGTTGTGGCTGTGGATGACGGTAAACAACCTCTTCACTATCGTCTGTATCCATTTGGTTGCGAAAATCTGAAAACAGTAATGAATGAATATTTAATAAGTAAGAGTGAAGACCAAATCTCGAGAAAGTTAATTTACTATTTATCACGGCAATTATATGTTTGGTGACGTGCGGTGGAAACTCTTTCAAAATGTCTAACGCAGTGCGTCCCTCGGCGTCGGTGGCATTTAAGTCTACGCCAGCTTTGAGTAGTGTACGCACAACTGATTCTTTGCCACACAATGCTGCTTCATGCAGGGCAGTGCCGGAAGGTGTTAGTAGATTGACACTTACACCGGCTGCCAATAAAACTTCGACAATATTTTTGTGTCCATTGCGACTGGCCAAATGTAAACAAGTATGAGGAAATATATGACGTGTTGGTGTACTTGGCGCTGAAATTACCGATGGTGATGAAGGTGAAGATGTTGATAGTGATCCCGAGTGCTGCAATGGTGATGAATGTCTTGATCTATGTTGATTTTCAATGGCACTATTACTATAAATCGCTATCAGTTCAGGATGTGCGCGTATGAGCATTTGTACTGCTAATAGGCGGCCATATTGTGCAGCTAAGTCTAGAGGTGTTTCCCCTCGTGTATTACTCATATTTGGATCCGCATCATGTGCTAGTAGCACTGCTAATGCACCAGTGTGTCCGTGTTGTGCAGCGCAATGTAGTGGTGTTTCATGTTCAATAGTCTGTGAGAATAAGAAATTTAATAGAATGTATTGAATTAGTTGTTTCATAGGTATTACCTGTAAATTAGGATTAGCTGGTCTATATGGATGTGATAGTAACATTTTTACGATTTCCTGATGTCCCGCCCAAGCAGCCAAGTGCAGCGGTGATGAACCGCGTGAGTCCGGTAAATTGGGTGAGGCTTCATGTGCCAAGAGCAATCGAACAATATCATTATGTCCGTTAATGCATGCATGGTGCAACGCAGAGTAACCTCCGCTATCTTGTACGTTAACACCTGGTCCACGACGTAAACTTGCTAAGGGTCCTGCACGTTTCGCTTTTTGACTAAGTACTTTTTCAATAAAAGAAATATTTCCATTGCGTGCAGCTTCCAAAAATTCTTGGTCCTTTCCCATGCTGTGTGCAAAGTGTATAAGTGCAAAGTTGCGGAGAATTTGGGTTAGGTGCAACTGAAATTTACACGGTGAAGATAGGTAAATTATTAAAAAGTAGTAGTAAAACATAAATAATGGTTAATATTTCGAAGTGACAAAGTTAAGGAATATTTGTTTTGATAGTTTCAATTTTCATTATAGTAAAACCAGATGGAATAAGTACACTTTTAACATTCTATTATATTTTAAAGACTGTGAAAATCGATGGTATAAAGACTTTCATTTGACTATATTGTAATAAAAATAGTAAGACAAATAATAATAATTGCAAAAAACAGAGATGAAAATCAAGAAAGAAAAATTTTTACAACCATTTAAATTATAGCATGGATAAGATTTAAAGTATTACTAAAAAATAAAGTTGAAAATGCTGTCACTAATATTCTTGGTCATTCCTAACCTTATAGTGACTGTCACAATTGAAGTATGCATTATGATAAATGTGACATAGTATAACGTAGAAGTTATCACCAAGAATTTCTAGAACAGGAACCATTCTAGAGTATAGTTTCTAAGAGTACTGCTTACTTTATCGATTCAGGTAACTCAGTCAGTAGTTATAACGTTATAGTATTGTTTTACGAGTTAAAATTGGCAGCGTTTTGAACTCCTGGCACAATGTAATCTAATAAAAATTTCAGTTGAAATATTAAAGATAGAGAAAAAAAAAATACATCGGGAGTTATGAGATCAATTTTGCTATCCTTGAAAAGACTTTCTGAATCTAATACGGCAATATATATGATATTAATATAACTTACAACATCTCTCAGTTCAATATCTCAGAAATCATTCCATAAAAGCCAAGTGATAATGTTGGATCTACTTTATGGTAATCACTCGATGCTAGTAGGTAAATGCATGGATGATTCATTTTACATTTAACAGAATTTACAGTCGTTATTCCCATCTTTGAAATGTGGAAGGAGTATGCATTTCTAAGAAACAGAGGCTAATCACAGTTTAAAACCACTTAGTCTTAGGAAGTTGTTATCATTTTTGTTCTTAAACGTTTTTTTTTTTTTGAATTGGCTTAGATCTTTGAAGTTGATCTGTGACTTTCCAAAGCTTTCACAGAAGTGAATGCATCGCAGAAAGTTTTCTCATCTATGAAAGGACTCGGAAACTTGTAAGCTGCCTCATAGCCAACTTCTTCTCCATGATAATGGCGTATATGAACGAATTCTACTTTTTTCATCCACTTTTACTTTGACTACATTAGTTTTGAAATAATATCTTTAATGCCATATGTTTACTTAAAATAAAATGGTAATTTTAAATTCAACGTTAACACTTTTAATTTCGCAAGATATCTTTTAATGACTTTAGCCTAAATGCGTAACACCTCTTAAAACATATTTTTCCTTTTATTGCGATAAACATCACTTTCAATTGCTTTAATGTCTGCCACAAATTTTCTAATCTCGAGTTTTATTACACGTAACAGCAAAACAATTTCCGCAACAGATAATCATATAAAGCAACAACAACAACAACAAGACTGTCTCTAACAGACACACACACAGTTGTAAAAGCCTATCCACTCTGCTGTGCTCACACTCAAATTGAATTTAACAGAGGTAGGTTATGTCCTGTCAGGCAATAAGAAAACTCGTATTCACTACAGTCTTTGCAAGGCAAGTCGAGTGTAGCCAACTCCCAATCTAAAGAAGTCAGCATAATTGTTTACACATACAAACACACAGATACACAAACAGCAATGTCTAATAATTGAGAGCAAAGTAAGTTTTTTTCAATAAGATAAGCTTTAGCAGACAGCAAGGCGACAAGTTGGCATGCCAAAGAGCAGCATTAGCAGCAACAACAACGAAAGTATCAGACTCACAATAAATTTAATAAATGAATACGCACATATAAATACATAACAAAAAAAATATAACAAAAATGAATTCAAAACGTAGAATAACAAGAGCCACGACATAACACAAAGTAGTCACAAACACAAAACAAAAAAACAACAACTTTGGTAAACACAAAAACAGCAGCTACGTTGGCTAGAGTAGTAAAAATTTTGCACACAACACATTTGGGTCAAAGGATATTGACCGAGCAATTTTATATGAAAGCAAATAAATGATTTCCGTTTACTTTCCAAGTGTATGTATATGAGTGCGTTTAAGCTCAAATATGTGTTAGTGTTGAGCAAATGAGTTAGAAAAATAATATTTTCTAGTTGGAGTTTTTAAAATGGCAATTGGCATTTTTTAATGCACTTAGGTCTACTCTTTGTACTCATTTGAACGTACATTATCGAAAATATTTTTTATTTTATTTAACAAGTTTACAGTCATTATTGCATACAAAGTTTGCTCATTTAAAATATATTAATTGTTTAAAATAATATATTATTTTTTTAATATTATTTTTGTATTTAATTAAATAATTAGTATCAATATAATGCACTATTTTTATTCGAATCAGAATTGTTTTTTTTTTCAACAATGTAAATTTTATGTTTAACAAAAGAATTGAGAAAAGTCTTTAGTCATAATAATTAATAGTAAATGAAAAACATCAGTAAGTTTTTAATAGATATTTTGTATAGAAAGCAAATTCAAAGGTTATTTGTGTAGAAACAATACATATGTTTACGATAAATCACTTTATGTATGTTGTAAATTTGTATATAGAATACATGTATTTACTTGTATACGAAAAATGCATTTCTTACAAATTAATTGTTATAGCATTAATAACACACTTTTAACATTCATTTATTTTTACTAAGAATACTTAATTTTATATAAAGCTAAATGACATTTTTTTTATGGCACAGAACTGTTCAATTTTATTGTTTAGTAGTTTCCATGAATTTTGATGACTAATTAATTTTTTGTTTATATTTTACAGCTTTTAATGGTAAGTCATTGTACACAATTTATGTAATTTAATTATTTATTATATTCACACATACACATGGTTTTATTATATATAAAAGATTTGAATTCATACCATGTATTTATAATACATATTTACTTATAACACAATTATAATTATATATATTTAAAAATAATTTTTCATCAATGATAAGCACTCATAAGTTCAAAAAGTGTTAAAAAGAAAATTGCAAGAATTAAAAATATTTTTATTTATTTTTTCATTTTCTGTTGTATTATCATTAAGTTTAATTAATTAATTATATTTACATTATTTTTAAAGAGTGAAGTTTTTTTTGATCATTTACATACATTATACATTGCACGATAATTTTTTATAGCTTATAATAATTTTGTAATATTTTCCACTTGCAAGAACACGAATTTTAGTATACATAAATTAATGTTGCGTATTGTATATATACATATGTATATATAGAATATGCATTCTTTTGCAATAAATAAATACTTTTAAGTTGCTTTTAAAAATTCAAAGGCACACACCTACTTCATTCAGTGTGGCATACCTGAGTACTGCTAAACTTTAATTTCACTAGAAACTTTCCAATCTATTTTCTATTATTCACTTATTTTATTGTTATTGTTATTTTTTGTTATAAAAAACTTTGCAAATTCTATTTAAGGTTGTTCCCAAATTCCTTAAGTAGTTTTCGTTTTCATTATTATTATTATTCGTTTCTTTTTTTTTTTAACAGTACATAGGTTCTGTGTATGCACTTAAAAGGCGTGTTCCCGTTTTGCCTAATGTACATAAACTCTTATGGCACATATACACATTTTCCCCGAATAAGTTTTTTTTCAAGTAATTTCTTATGCTAAACTTATTTTTACTCTGTGCTAGCGTACACTGTATATATTTACCTTATCATTAAATTATATTTTATTAAATGTAATTTTTCAATTAAATATAAATCACTACCAATTCATTTTGACATTTTTTTTGGTTTTTGTTTAATTTTTATATGCTTTCTAGCAATTTAAACAATTTTTCTTAACATTCTCTTCAGAAGATTCAAGCACTACTGAAACGTCAGCGAAGTGTGCTTGTGGGTGTGTGTGGCAGCATGTCTCATCATTACAAGTGCTTGAATATTGCAACTTGCGCACACTAAATGAGCGGCAGCATAACAATACAAAACCCAGTGCTGCTTGCACTGCCGCTCGTAGCGATGAGCGCTGCTGTACAGTGCGTAACAAAAGAGAGAGAAAGTAATTGGTATGGGCACACAAATAGGGGTTGCCAGTTCTGTCTGGAAAGTGAAGAATTGTTATTTGCAATGGAACAGAAAGTTCTTTTATTTATTAAACAATATTTGATAAATGTTTTATTATTTATTAAATAAATAGTAGAATTCTAAAGTGATGCAGGCACTAATCTTTTTGTTCCACAACGATACCGTGGTCACTACACTTAACCTTCTGCATTCTCAGGCATCTTAAGATTGTTCACACCTTTAGTGATTTATAGTTGTAGTTTAATTCATATGAATTTATTTCATGACAAGATCAATTATTATTAAATAATGGAGTGTGACTACACCCCGACCTAAAAGATTTATTGTGCGCCTAAAGGCCCAACTACAACTAAAACACTTCTAGACTATTTATAAATCTCGTAATTGCTGTGGGCTTATTTCACCTATTTGATTTGGAACTAAGATCCCGGTTCCAAGATAGTCGAGTCTACGTCTTGCCGCCGCTGGGCAGTTGCATAGGATATGTTCTGATGTTTCCTTCTCCTTATGACAGAGTCGACAGGAATCACTTTCTACCGCACCTACAAACTTCATGTGGTAATTAAGTTTACAGTGTCCTGTGAGAATTTCAGTGTAGATTTTAATATCGTTTCTGCTAAGGTTAATGATAGCATCAACTTTGATGTGTTCAGGATAAATGAATCCTCTTGCCAGTTTGTGCTCTCCAGTGTTCCAGTACATTTTGTTTCTCCAATTCACATAATAAGTTTAATTAATTTTCTTTCGGTTATACACACCAAATCTGTGCAATACATGTCTTCGCTTCTGGTTATGGATATTGCTTTCATAATTAATCATTGTTGGCACAACAGTTCTATTTTTGAAGAATAGTCCT